GCTGAAGGAGAACTTTCATTTACAAGTGGATGATATCTGATAAAGTGATCTGTTCTGTCTTTAACTATTATCCTCATCAGCAAAGTTTATTTTGTGAAAATATAAAGTATAGTTTATTTTAAAAGTACCTGTCACTTATCAGTAACAAATATAAATGCATCTTAAGATTCCAGCTCTGGGCCCAATAAACATTTTGTCATAAGTACCAGCAACAGCTAACTGAATTAAGCCCCTTTAAAATCGAGATAAGGCTGTCAGTTTTCATGCAAATGCACTGAATCCGTTTAATCTTCTCCCGAAATGATTTAATAGAGCAAAGCTGTTTGATGTACTTAGCAAAACAAGTCCCTTTTGTAAACAGCAACATGAAGCTTTCAGTAAATATCAAAACCAAGTTGAAGCTGTGTTTTTTCAAGTTAGCAAACTGCAATTACCAATTTCCTCATGGTAATTTTTCAAAGCTTTGCTAATAAAGGATGTCTCATCAGTCATTTTACAGCTGCCTTGTTTGGCTACCCTGTGATGCCTTGCAGTTATAGTGGAGAATTCAAAACTCCTGGGTTCTATATTTGCTTCTGCTGCTAACTTGTTTCTGGCTTTTGGACAGGTTAGCTTCTCTGTACCTCGGTTTACCACAGTTGTAAAACTGGTGTTTGTATGTAAGTAGATAATTCTTAACTACCAGCAGAGAGAGGAGTCTTCATTCACGGTTTGTAAAGAACTGTTAATGTTCTTTACTGGAAGCATAAATTGTTGCTTAAAAATGTGTTTAAGGAGCACTTCACTCTTCCCAGTGCTGTCTTTATAGAAGGGGAAAGCCAAGCAGTATTAATGGTGTAACTTATGTTAAACACATCTGTTAGCAATGGAAAGAAGGGAATGAAACTTGGTTAATTGCTATTGGGATAAATGAAGGATTACTTGGGCTTGCAGTTAAAGTTTGCGTGCAGGGCTTGTACAAGGCTTCAGAGGGAGGTAAGCAGCACCCTTCTCCACCCACTTACTCCTGCTCTCCTTGCATCTCATGCTAAAAAAGTTACATAGCCACCTTTTAGTGGCATGTCCACACTGTACAGTGCAGTGTACACATGCCATGAATGCCCTAATTGGGATCTGTACATACATGTGGTAAAAATCAGTTCTTGCCCTGAAGATCCTGCAGTCTGGGAGAACAAGCCACAAAAAAAGGATGGGGTTAAAGGATTATCCTTGTTGCACAGATGGAGACCTGAGGCTCTGCAAGCTTTTGAATTGCTTGAGTTCACCCAGCAAGCTGATAAACTACAAAGGTTCTCGCTCCTTGTCCCCTGTTCAGACCACCCATTATTCCACTGACATAGGAGTTATACCTCTTGCAAATGAAATGGTCCAATTGGTGCAAAGGTACAGTTCTGTAAGCAGTAACAATAGTACTTTTCTTTGGGTGCTCTCCTTTTGAAAGAGGAGTCTGTGTGCATGTGTGCCTGCATGCAACTATTCTCAGTCTCCCTGCCTGACACTAGAAGCAGTGAGATGATTCCACCCCCCACCCCCATGTGCAAGCACAGCCTTGTCTGTCATTTGCCTGAGAGACTGATTACTTGTCTTGAGGTCACATGCCCCTCCGAGCAGATGGCATAGGTGAGATTGACTTTGACTGTCCTGCCCACTTAAGCACAGCCAGCCATTTGTTACATATGATTAAAAATATCACTAACGAGGGTAATTTAACATGCTTTTTGGCAAACACAGTTAGCAGGATGTGACATGATGTGGCACTCTCGTCTTCCTCTATGTGCCATGTCCCTTGAGGCCTGATCCTCCCTGCGTCACCCCTCCTCCCTGTGCCCACGCTTGCCTTCCAGCTCACCTGCTCCAGATGGGCAGCACAGTGGGGAGGACACTGGCAAAGGCAGATGTGTTTATTTACCGGAGACAAAATGTTGTGCCGATGCAGATGGCAGTGCCCCCGAGCAAATGGTGCACTTTGACACTACTATCACACTACCAGGATCCCTGTGCTGTAGGAAGAACTCTTACCATCTTTTAAAATCTAGCTCTCTGTGCTTGTTTGAAAGTACAGCTCTTCCAACATGAAGCTGCATGCTGTGGCATCAGAACGTTCCTCCTTCGTGCCATCACTTTTCAGATGTTTGTTTCTGTAGCTGTTGTAATATCTTTAGAATTGAGAAAAATACAGACTGTGGGTCTTCAGATGTCTATTTTCCTCTTGTAGGAAGGTCTGAGTGTATTCATTTAATGTTGCTATTTAGTCGTCATAAACTTGCCAAAATAACCTGTGCTTTAATGCTGACCCCTGAAAGGGAGAAGACTAGGAGGGCAAGGTCAATTTACCTGCTGGTTTTAAAGATGTATGTTCATCTTGATGTGCATTCGGGGATATGTTGGCAATTACCTGCAAGCTGAGTGGAGCCTAGACTAGTGGCTGCTGGTGGATCTTGTAACACTTCACATGGACGGGATAACATAAAAGGGGGTTTAGGATCATTAATAATGGAATGTGTTAAGTAGTTTGTCTTGGCCAAACCCAATCTATTCCTTCATTTGGAAAGTTGCTTCTGTCTGAATCTGAGTTATACATTGGGCTTTGCTTTATATTGATGCACGTGGGTATTTTAAGCATGTGACTGTGTATGTGTAGATTGTTTGGACCCAACAGTGGAAACTCCATTACAAGACTAAAAAGTTGCAACTTTGGGGGGTGGGGGGGGCATGAAAATTATACATGCACATACATATACATACAAGACAGAGCTATTGGACTTTGATTTCTTTTCTTTTTTTGTTCTCCCTTACTTTTTAGAGTGGTGAGATGTTAGAAAACGTAGAACTTGTATTCTGGTGTAACCTTGCTGCAGTGTTAGAGAGCAGTGCTTCCTGATCTCTGCCACTGCCTCCTTTACTTAGTCCTCCAAAAAGTCCTCTCCTACATCTAACTGCATTCTTTATGGAGGCTTTGGCCTGCTTGTTAGGAGGACCTTGGGTATAGCTCTCAATCACCACTCTCCTGTTTTGGTAACATGGTGTGGTAAAATACTTTGAGTGGTGCTGGTTTTAAATTAACCAGATTTTTTTTTAAGCTTGCTATTTTACCCATCAGAGTGCTGATACAGTTATGAGTTTTTCAGGTGTAAATCCCCTTCCCCTCTCTAGGGGATCGGATGTGAGAAGGTGTTTGTTTTCTCACTCAGACTACGTGTGTGCAATCCAGTTAGGTGCCTGCTG